TTACTTTACAACTTCCTGCCATCATCAGGAAAGAAACTGTCTGATTGGACATTGGTGCCCTGATTGACCTCTATAGCCATTTTTAGTGAGGGCAATGCTTATTTAGGACACTGGCTCCTTGGGTTGGTAAGCATTTTGCGAGTGGTTAGTGTAGGGACAGGTTTCCCTGTCTGTCAGGGAGAGTGTTAAGAGTTAAGCAGGCCATACATGGGCCCCACTAACAGAGTGAAAATTAACCGATTATTCTTAGGTCCGATTTTCGAACAGAAAATCGTTCAAAAATTGACCCATGTATGGCCGGCCTTAGGGAGACGTTCCAGAGGAGTAGACACAGTGTAGGGACTATACCTATCCTCTGCTTTAAAAAACCTTCCATTTTGGTGTGGACTGGCAGGGCCGTATTCCCGCTCCTTATTGCCGAAGCTGTCGGCATCATCCGAAGATAATAGATATCTGCTACAGTTTCCATAGGTGGCTCTGAATGGCTGTGCCTACCCTCCAGGCCTGGCTCTAACTTGTTGGAACTTTCTGTGAATACACTGTTCTCGGTCACCTCGGCCTCTGTGTGATCAATGCTGGCTGACACACCACCCTGCTCACAATTTACCTTTCTTGATTGCTATACCCAATGCCACGACATGTTGAATGTTGTAGAATTTTCAGGGTGGAAAGGGTAAAAGGGTAGTTTTTAGCTGAAAAGTGCTCCACCCTTTCATTAGAAATACAATCCAAAATTACAATGCCTGATTACCACTCAGACTCCGTAAGTGAAAAAACAGATTCCTCCATTGTGAATCATATGTTAGTACCATGCCCAGAGTCAGATAATTAGTGAGACGGATGTAGGCTAGAGACAATATGCCACTTGATTCAGTATGATTAGACTTCCATTTCATTTTAGGACTCACCATTTGCTTACACTGTGAGTAACGGGAAGAAATTGAGCAACACACCCTAACATTTTCCCTGTATTGCCCAAGGATTTCATGATAACGTTCTGTAAATGTTGACGGGATCTTCTAACATGGAAAAAGAATGGAGTCTGCCCCCAAGACTTACAGATTTTGTTTAATTTGACATGGTTGCAGAGTTTGATCAAATTCATCATGGTGTGATGTTTTTAGTTCCATGCATGTCAGATGTTCATCTTTACTTACCCTAGGTTCACATCTGTGTGGTTGGTGCTGCTGCAGATCCGCACGAAAATCCGTGCAGCCGCACCACCTGCACAGAGAAATGCGGAACCGCTGGCGGGTGCCATTACTTCTAATGGCATGCCACCCACACTGGAACACGCAACCGTACTGGGAACCGAGGCTCCCGTGCGGGCTGCGTTTTCCAAAGAAGTGCAGGGACTTCTTTCCCTGTGTGTCACAGGCACGGGAGTCCATTCAAATGAATGGGCTCTCGCGCCCGTGCAAAACGCGGCCCGCACGGCCGCATAGATGTGAACCTGGGGTAAGAGAGAGACAATCACAAAAACAGCACGGAGGAGTTTTAACAATGCACAAATAGGAATTCTTAAATCTGCTTCAAAAGGGCAATATACAGTGGATGGAACAAACACATATGCTCAGAGGGGTAAAGCATCAATTAAATATCTAAACTGAAAGACAAAAATGTAATACACTGCAGTTTACTAGTCCCTTAGAACCCTTTCCGTCAAACCGTTTTATGTTACAAAAAAATTTTATTGAGTTTTTCAAAGTTGTGTAACACGGTACAGAAGATTGGACACAAAATTCTAATATTAGAGATCATAGGAAAATACAATTACAGCAATCGAAACAGGTACATTACAACTGGCCTATGTATGCAAAAGAAAAGAATTCCTTACACGCTGAGAATGGGCTGAAGTATTATACAAATCCAGCAACAATATGTTTTTCAAGGCACATCAATGGCATAAATTCAACAAGGTGTTGAAAACATTCCTCAGAGATTTGGTCCATATTGACCTGAGTCACTGTTGCCTTTCTATCGTCTCAAACAAGTCTGTCCATTCTCCTCTGACCTCTGACATCAACAAGGCATTTTCATCCACACAACTGCCACTCACTGGATATCTTCTCCTTTTTGGACCATTCTCTGTAAACCCTAGAGATGGTTGTGTGTGAAAATCGCAGTAGGTCAACAGTTTTTGAAATACTCAGACCAGCCTGTCTGGCACAAACAATCATGCTATGTTCAAAGTCACTTAAGTATCTTTCTTCCCCATTCTGATGCTCAGTTTGAACTTTAGCAAGTCATCTTCACATCTAGATGCCTAAATGCACTGAGTTGCTGTACAGGGGAGCTGGGATATACATTACTGTATACATGTCATATCACTATAATGGAGTACAGGGGAGGGGGGATATACATTACTGTATACATGTCATATCACTATAATGGAGTACAGGGGAGGGGGGTATACATTACTGTATATATGTCATATCACTATAATGGAGTACAGGGGAGGGGGGATATACATTACTGTATATATGTCATATCACTATAATGGAGTACAGGGGAGGGGGATATACATTACTGTATACATGTCATATCACTATAATGGAGTACAGGGGAGGGGGATATACATTACTGTATACATGTCATATCACTATAATGGAGTACAGGGGAGGGGGGATATACATTACTGCATATATGTCATATCACTATAATGGAGTACAGGGGAGGGGGGATATACATTACTGTATACATGTCATATCACTATAATGGAGTACAGGGGAGGGGGATATACATTACTGTATACATGTCATATCACTATAATGGAGTACAGGGGGAGGGGGGGGGGGATATACATTACTGTCTACATGTCATATCACTATAATGGAGTACAGGGGAGGGGGATATACATTACTGTATACAGGTCATATCACTATAATGGAGTACAGGGGAAGGGGGATATACATTACTGTATACACTTCATATCACTATAATGGAGTACAGGGGAGCTGGGATATACATTACTGTATACACGTCATATCACTATAATGGAGTACAGGGAGGGGGGGGGATATACATTACTGTATACATGTCATATCACTATAATGGAGTACAGGGGAGGGGGGGATATACATTACTGTATACATGTCATATCACTATAATGGAGTACAGGGGAGGGGGATATACATTACTGTATACATGTCATATCACTATAATGGAGTACAGGGGAGGGGGTATATACATTACTGTATACACGTCATATCACTATAATGGAGTACAGGGGAGCTGGGATATACATTACTGTATACACGTCATATCACTATAATGGAGTACAGGGGAGCTGGGATATACATTACTGTGTACAGTTTTATATTTTGGACTATTTATTCTAAAGAAAAATGTAATTTCATAAGTTTTAAGGGGGCGTGGTTGGAGGCGGGCCCTGGTTGGGGGCGGACCTGGGCAAGGTTGGGTGGGGCAACTGGTGGAGAGTATGTTTTGTGACCGGCTAGTAGGTCTGGACTCGAAATTTTAACCCCTGAATTACACAGAATCAGCAGCATGCATGTTATCACTGTTGGGTCTGTTGGTTTTCTATTACTCTACTACACCTGCTAGTAAATTATTGGCCATGTAAAAATATAATTTATATCAAAAACACGGATTGATCTGGTTAGTGATATTATATTGTAAAGTGCTGAGCAGACTGTTGGCGCTATATAAATCCTGTATAAAATAATAATAATAATAATGTTGGACTGCTACTATTTTGAACACAGCTATATGTAACTATGTAACAGAGACAAGAGGCTGTAGTACCATGTAAAGGACCCCATGAGAAGATTGCAAAATCAGGCCACAATGATTCCATGAAACTTGGAATGAAATATGGAAACTCAGAACGCCATAAAGCAGAAGGTTTTTCAAAGCTGAAGTGCAAACTGAAAGCAGCGTTACCAAACAGCACATGATTTTCTTGTATCCACACTGTGACACTAAGTGAGCAATGCATGACATCACTGTTCAAACAAAAGCAACTTCTGTGCAATGGGGCGATTGCAAAGCTATTGCAAAAGAATTGTGCAACCAAATACTTAGCTAATTATTGCAAGATCAAATAACTGTTGCTATGGTTACTGCTCGGTGTTTCCCATAACAATATTTATCTATTTCATAAATCTGCGTGACACAAAGAAATAAACATTTTGCTGTAACCTCTGTCCTATGGAGGCTGGCACTCATTAGTCATCTCATCCCAGAAGGTGATTACTTTCTCTGGATCTTCCTTGACAATCGCTTTAAGTAAACCAGTGAAAGCCAGGGGCGGGAAAAAAATATGAAGGCTGCCATTACGGACATCTGCTTTTGAAAATGCTGGTTGCTTGGCTGCCATTGCTGGTTCAATGTCACAGACCTGAGAAAACACTGTACACAGAGTTCTGCTGTCACTTTAGTGATCCCGGTGGTCTTCTGAGTCTTGTACCGAGTGGATGTCCATCTTAGTGAACAAAAGGTGTCGCTTGCTCGGTATAGCTGCCATTCAAGGAACGCCTTGTATTTTTTTTATTGAATACAAGGCATTCTCTAATTGGATGAGATAAAGACGGGAGTGGTCACGTCATGATGTGCAGAAAGTGAGAGACCCCAATTCTGGCTCATATGATCTGCAACAGCAGTGTACTGAGATGTCAATATTAGCAGTGCCTTCAATGAAGCTGAATGACAAAACTGAGCTGCATCAGGTCACATGACCCGCTTTTAAAGAACAAGTTTTCTACAGCTGAGCAAGATTCTGTTGGCTTTTATACTCGTACACTGCATGTATGATTAAAGAGATATTAAATTGTTACAAAACCCCGGACCCTGCATTCACTATATCTGGTCTCCCCGGACCCTGCATTCACTATATCTGGTCTCCCCCGGACCCTGCATTCACTATATCTGGTCTCCCCGGACCCTGCATTCACTATATCCGCTCTCCCCGGACCCTGCATTCACTATATCTGGTCTCCCCGGAACCTGCATTCACTATATCTGGTCTCCCCGGACCCTGCATTCACTATATCCGCTCTCCCCGGACCCTGCATTCACTATATCTGGTCTCCCCGGACCCTGCATTCACTATATCCGGTCTCCCAGGACCCTGCATTCACTATATCCGGTCTCCCCAGACCCTGCATTCACTATATCCACTCTCCCCGGACCCTGCATTCACTATATCTGGTCTCCCCGGACCCTGCATTCACTATATCTGGTCTCCCCGGACCCTGCATTCACTATATCTGGTCTCCCACAGTACACACAACATGGAAATACAATTATTTTAGTAAATATAAACTGCTAAATACCTTTTCTCATCAGCAGTTAGAGCAGTCATGTGACTTCTATCAGTGTCCAGCAGAGGTTAAAGCTTGTAGGAGGAGTTTTCATTTTGATCTCGGAGGATGCAGAAGCCCAGAAGCCCTGACCTCTGTCTGGACAGTGCTGACTGGCCCTGTGCTGATCACATGCAGAAAAAAAAAAACCCCTCTCTAGCAATACACACCAAAATGAGCATGTGCAGAGTAACTCCAACAGTCCAAGCTGTCCAGCAAAAGTGGCAGTCTGAGGATTAGGACAAACCATTTACCACTGACAAGGGTGCTTACAATGACCAGCTTTTATTTATTTTAAAACTTTATCCTTTGTTTGTCAAATCCATCTAAATCTGCTAGTGCATCTAACACTCTCCTACTCCTAGACTGACAATGCTGCTGTCCAAGGGTGTCTCCATTGCTCCTCGAACCAAGATGGAAACACCCCGGAAAGAAAATGTGTCAATGACAGCATCACCAGGTGACAATAAAAAAAAAAAAAATAGCCTAAATGAAGGCAGCCACCACAATTAGGGATTGGTAAACTGCAATATATAACATTTTTGTTTTTGGGTTAGTAAACTCTTTAAAGAGGACCTAGGAATGCTTTGAAGTGGTACTGTGGGTTATTGGAGCAATGGAGTTTTGCAGCAATGGGGTCCTTGGTTCAAATCCTGGCCAGGGCATTATCTACGTGTGTTTGTGCTGGATTCTTCTGGGTCCCCTGGTTTCCTCCCACATTACAAAGTCACACTGCCTCTCAATTAGATTTAGTATATGTGTACAAACTGGCTATGCACTTGCATTGTCACATTCTGAATACCAGTCCCAGGCCTGAGCAATTGGGGAGGAGCAACTAGCAACCTACCTTTGCCAAGAAAAGTCTATTAAAATACATTTCAAACGTATCAGTCATGGTGCCTCAAGACCTGGCCCATAGAATCGCAGAGATTCGGATATACAGTATCTGATCAAATATGTATACTCTTCCCTGCACTATTCTAAAGAGGAACTCCACCCCTACAATCAATAATAAGAGTTTTAAATCTTATAAATTGTACCTGTAAAAAAAAAAAAAAAAAAAACATACTTACTAGTCCATGCAGTTCAATGCTGTCTGCTTGTAGAGAATGTTCTCCCTGCACTGCTCCTCTCTGGCGCTGTGATCTTGAATTAATTTCTATTTCATGTGCAGACACACCGCAGGGATCCTTGTCAGGTCTATATAACCTGGTAGATCCCCGCAGGGTGTCTGCACATGCACCAGGCACAGAGCAACACAGAAATCCCAGGAGGCAGTTCACAGGACCGTGCGCATGCGTAGAACAGGTGCAATGGATCCCGGGCTGACTCCCGGTGTTCCTGCACATGCACAGTGTCTAGGTACGCCATAGGCGAGAATGACAAACCTCTACTTTATAGAAAAAAATACAGGTTTTTTTTTTTTTTTTTTTGCAATTCTGTTGGGGAGGGGAGAGGAACATTAAAAGATTAAAACATTCCTAGATTGTAAGCTCCAAGGAACAGGGCTCTCGAACCCCCTCATGTATTGCATTGTATTGTTATTGTACTGTCACATGTACTGTCCCCCATTGTAATGTACAGCGCTGAGTGAACTGTTGGTGCTTTATAAATACTGTATGATAATAATAAAAAAAAGATTAAAGGTCCTCTTTAATGAATTGGAGGAAACAAAATCTTGGTAAATACACAAAACACTCAAGTTCTGCTACACATCTTTGTAGTTCCTTGACTGACACTTGCATGAATGCCAAAGTGCAAAACAGAATCTGCTCCCTGGGCCAGAAAACATTGCATAACAGATAAAAAATGCTGTGATATCACTTCATTTGAAAGAGTACAACATGTCTTGAAGTCGAGTGTCTGCAGGTCATGCAGCACTTGAAGCACATGAAAACCCTACTTGTCACCTTTACATAACTGCTAACAAGGTCTGACTATCTAATAAAACATTTCCCAGACTCCTCTGCTGCTAACGCTGGCACTGATAATGACTGAGCAGCCTTCCAGTGCAAACATCCTATACATGGTGTGTGCGGCACTTCGTACAATACATGCCAGGTATTAGACCAGAGGAAGTGCGGGCACCGATAAAGGCAAATGTAAACGCATAGTCCACCTTCTGCAAAAATGCAATATAAATGCACACAATTACAATTTTATATATATATATATATATTTTTTTTTTTTTTCATTTTTTCATTTAAGCTTACAGAGAGCACTGTAGGCATGATCAGTGTGTTGTGGATGTAATACACAGGATCCGGCAGACTCTTCTCCCGGTCAGTAATGAGGGAAGGACCTATCATTCATGGGGCTGGAGGCAGTAATCAATTGACTACAGGTTTGGTGACATCACCGCACTTGTGCTCTATTGAGGCCTAAGAGGACCCTCTGCCATGGTGTTTGCTATTTTCATTCACCCCCGGTTCACATCTATGCGGCTGCGGGCTGCGTTTTGCACGGGCACGAGAGCCCATTCATTTGAATGGACTCCCTGCCCCGTGACACTGCACTTCTATGGAAAATGCAGCCCACACAGGAACCTTGGTTCCCAGTATGGTTGCGTTTTCCAGTGTGGGCGGCGTGCCATTAGAACTAATGGAACCCGTCCGTGGATCCACATTTCTCTGTACGGGTAGATATTCGTGTGGATCCGCAGCGGCACCACCCGCACAGATGTGAACCTAGGGTCACAGATCCCTGGGAATTAATGATATTGTTATGCAGGCGTGGATCCACATTTCTCTGTACGGGTGGATTTTCGTGTGGATCCGCAGCGGCACCACCCGCACAGATGTGAACCTAGGGTCACAGATCCCTGGGAATGAATGATATGGCTATGCAGGCAGAACCATGTACAGCTGTGATAAACAGAAAAGGAAACAGGACGCTCCACCCATCGATTCTGGTTAGGCTACAATCACACCGGCAATTAGGGCCAGTGCCAATTGTAGCGGCAGTTCCTGCTGGGCTCTCAACAGATAGGAGTGGCCACTGGCCCCATTCACTATAATGACAGGTTATCTGCGGTGATCACTGCTGGACACACACAAAGTATCTTCAGCAGCGATCACCACAGCTAATCATTGGCTGTGCAGAGAGGCGTGAACAACTGCGGCCACAAGTGACCTGTCATTATAGTGAACGGGGCTGGTGGCCGATCTACCTGCTGAGAGCCCAGCAGGAATCTCTATTTGCACCGGCACTAATCACGCGCGCGTGCGAGGGGGGGGGAAGCTGTCATAGTAGTCACATGATTGGGAGCTGGTCCCAACGGCTGCCAATCGTTAGTGAGGACTGAGAGCTGACTTTGACAGTTTGGTCTTTGTAGTGGGAGTGCGCTCTCAGCAGCCACCTAGTTGCGCACATGTGTGGCGTATGGGCGTTAGAAGCCCATCCTTTTGCTGCCAGAGCAGCCTATAAACCCAGGGTCTATGAATATCAAGCCTCTGTTCTGTACTGTACAATTGAGATTTTTCTTTAACTATTTTCGGCACATTTTCTTTTGAAATAAAGCTAAAATTTGGTGATATCCATTAACATTCACCACCAAAAGACCCAATTTGTCCTTAAAAAAAAAAAAAAAAAAAAAAAAAAAAAAGAAAGGTATAATTCACCTGGATACACTATGTAGTTTCAAAGATATGTACACTTATGTACATATCTATATACAGCGGTAGTAAATGCTGAAAAAAAAAAAAAAGCCAGTTCCTGTAAGATAATTTCATAATGTAAAACTGAGTACTTGTGAGCTGCTATGGTGTATTTATTATGTGAAAAATGAATATATCCAAATTATATATATATACAGTTGCAAGAAAAAGTATGTGAACCCCTTGGGATTACGTGGAGTTTTGCATGAATTGGGCATAAAATGTGCTCTGAACGTCATCTAAGTCACAACAATAGAAGAACACAGTCTGCTGAACATAATACTACACAAACATTAGATGTTGCCATGGTTTAATTGCACATAACATGTAAACATTCACAGTGCAGGGAGGAAAAAGTATGTGAGGCCCTAGCTTAATGACTTCTCCCAGAGCTAATTGGAGCCAGGAGTGAGCCAACCTTGACTCCAATCAGTGTGATGATATTGGATGTGTTGCTGACAGCTGTCCTGCCCTTAAAAAACACACACCTGTTTTGGGTTTTGTACTGGTTTCAAGAAGCACTGTCTGATGTGAACCATGCCTCGCAGAAAAGAGCTCTCAGAAGACCTACGATCAAGAATTGTTGACTTGCATGAAGCTGGAAAGGGTTACAAAAGTATCTCCAAAAGCCTTGATGTTCATGTGTCCACGGTAAGACAGACTGTCTACAAATGGAGAAAGTTTAGCACTGTTGCTACTCTCCCTAGGTGGGGTCGTCCTGTAAAAATGACTGCAAGAGCACAGCGCAGAATATGAGGTAAAGAAGAATCCCAGAGTGTCAGCTAAAGACCTACAGAAATCTCTGGCAAATGCTAACATTTTTGTGACACATCTACAATAAGGAAAACATTAAACAAGAATGGAGTACATGGGAGGACACCACGGAGGAAGCCATTGCTGTCCAAAAAGAATATTGCAGCACGTTTGAAGTTTGCAAAAGAGCACCTGGATGTTCCACAGCACTACTGGCAAAATATACTGTGGACAGATGAAACCAAGATTGAGTTGCTTGGGAAGAACACACAACACTACGTGTGGAGAAAAAAAAGGCACAGCACACCAACATCAAAACTTCATCCCCACTGTAAAACATGGCGGAGGGAGCATCATGGTTTGGGGCTGCTTTGCTGCCTCAGGGCCTGGACGGATTGTCCTCATTGATGGGAAAATGAAT